TGATTGATATCCAAAGTGAGATGTGAGCGAAGGCTACTTGTCTCTAACAAAATAGATGAATAATAAAGTACTGTTTGTAACTATAATCTATAAGAAAAAAGAACAAAACGAAATGATTTTTATGTTAGATCGGATAAAAAATAAAGAATTAGTGTCTATAACATAGCTACAAAAGAAAGGAGCTTTATCATCATTCTTATGTTCAAAAATAAGCTTGCTTACTATTAATATAAATTACTACAAGGAAAAGTTATCTTTTCGCTTGAATGCTGAATAAAAAATATTTCCAACTAATTAGAGAAAAATGCTACTGATTTCAATTTTAATTTATGCACATTAAAATTATTTTCTAGACTTACTCTATTATACATTTATGCATTAATATATCTTAGAATGGAAAAAGTCATCAGTTTTGCTAGAATACTACTGGAAAGAATAATTGGAGGTCTGGATTTTATTGTATTGATTGAATACTTATGAGAGACATGTATGCAAAGGCTATTCGGAACTGAGATCATAAAAATATCATAATGATCGGATCAACATTTTTCAATATAGAACATCAGAGAAATTTGAATGAATGTTGATCTTCTTCTAATAAATTGATTCGAATGAACAATGAAGATTATTTTTAAGATATGAGGAACATCGTGTGTTTAAATCAGTATTCAAGAAAAAAACTTCTAAAAAATGCTTCCCTATGCGTAAAACGGTCAATAATTCCACTGAAACTGTATAGTAATCTACTTTTTTTTTACAAAAATGATAGACTATTTTTCTTAAATCTCAGAATAATAAATCCTTTTTTATCTAGTTATCAAAAACATTTCTTATCTTCATTTACTTTTGGTTCCAAGAATTCTTCAGCTCATAAACTCTTGAAAAGTTTAGAAAGTCAGCATATAGACTTCAAGAGTTTATGAAAAATTGATACGATTTTTCTTTTACAGTGTTGGTTTAGTTCACCTTTATTTTGAAAGATTTTAGCTGACATTTACAATACTATGAATAATGGCAAAATCATCGATAAATAGTCAATGAGTGTGAAAAACATTCATTCTCATGATTTGTCTATAGATATAACTTATCACAACCAAATGAGACATACTATCAATAAGCCTTAGGATTTATCTCGATGAAGAGAACAATGAGGAAGTACATATGAAGAGAAAAGGGCACCTTTAATACAGCTATTTTATTTATCTATGAGTCTTAAAGAATAAAGGACAATAACAACAATACGAAGTAAGTATTGAATAACGAGATTGAAGTCGGTGATTGATTCACATTTCATTCACATCTCAGTTCCATGTTCATCTTACTAAATGGACAGTGCATTCCATATCTCTTTACAATACGGTAGTGTCAGTGACAAATGAGAGTGACTACATTCTCTAAAATATGATTATTGATGAATTTTTTTATGCGTATCAAGTTCAATAAATCCCCATTCAATTTACTACACATAACGCTACGATCATTTAAATTATATTTTAAAATCGAATATATTTCTTTCCATTGTTAGAAAGAGATAAGAGTAAACCCATGAGCAAATAACCATTTTCTAGTACAAATTTTGTTTTCGATTTTTTGTATATTAAGTAGTTAGGAAGTGAAAAGAAAACATCTTTGACAAAAAAAAAAAGATGAGAATTTCAATATGACGTTGGGAGGAGAATGTACATTAGGCGTAAATAGTTCAATTTACAAGTTCCAATGAATCTGTTAGAACGAGAGAATTCTAAGAACGTCTTAGAAATTGTCAAGAATCCTGGATAAATCTAGAGAGTTCTGGGGAATTCTTAGGGATTCTGCAGAGTTTTAGGAAATCCTACTGAATGTTTAATTTTGAAGTCCTTAGATGCATTGCTTTCTCAGGAAAATCTGCATGTGGGTGTGAGGGTGGGTGTTGATGGGTGTCTATTTGAAAATAAGACGTAAAATCATATACGAGATGAGCAAAGAAATCGACTCAGTTACGGCGCTTGCAAAAGAGATAACGGAATCTTAAGGAATACAAATGCAATTCCATTGGAACTAAAGTGTCAAACACGATGTAGCTGCTTTTGCGAATTACATAAATATTATTTTATTCTGTCTAGTTTGAAACACATTTCTTCAGTATTCGTTTACTTAATCGTCCAAGAAGATAATAAGGAAATAGTTCATATATTGTAACGAGGAGTTATTGATATACAGTTTATGATCATATATCAACAATGTCTGCCACAGTCTGTGAGTGATGAATGCAACGGAGTCGAAATGTTTACACCTTTAATTCAACACTCCTTTCAGATCGTGTGTCACAATAGAAAAAATAGATACCATCATAGAGAGCTGATGTAATTTCAATGGTG